GCTCCGAGAGCCTGCTGGCTGGGAAACGTCTCCATGAGTCATTTCCACATACCCCTAAATCCCATAATAATTACAACGTCTTCACAAAGTTCTCTTCATTCCAGTGGCTCTCAGTTGACTTTAAAGCTGGATCTCCATAGCCATTAGAAACGTGGGTGCATGTGAGAAATGAATGGGTTTAGTAACCTCACGTCTCCTGCTCTAACAATCTGCCAGCAGCCGGGTAGATCAGTTCAACAAAGTAGGCGTTGAGGAACCTCACAGCTATTTAACATGGCCATTTTAATGAAGGAAAGTACTCTGCATAGTGAAAAATTCCTCATGAGGGAGAGCCAAGAGCATCCTGAAGGAGGCACAGAGCCTTGGCTGGTGTGAACACCCTCATTAGTGCAGTGCTGTTTCCCCCTGGGAGATCTGTATCCTTATTGTAGGCAAACAGGCTGCGACCCTCCGAGAGGGGTAGGACTCATTCGCTGCTCATCGTACCATCAGAGATCTAATATCGACTCACACGTGCTCCTCGCTGGTTCATCATCTTGATTTCCTCTTCCTTTCAGATCCCTGCCTAATTGAAGGGCTGGTCGTATCCTGCTCTAGCACGTGAGCGAGGAGGACTGACAGCATCACGGGGCTGCAGGCACAGCACGCAAACAGGCGACAACAGAGGCCTCAGAATACCAAGAGGAATAAGCAATACTTTGGTAAATACAACGATACCTCCAAAAGGAAGGAAGCGATGCCAGCCGCGGGAGCCAGCTGTAATTGAATGATCCTGCAAGGCAGACTCTGGCAGTCACAAGATGATACTTCAGAGCAAACATCATCAAGATAAGGAAGTCTTTTTTTTTTTTTTCCTCTCAAAAAGATCAAGTCACCCTCTTATCTTGTAGGTAATTTCCTGCAGCCCATATTACAGGAATTAATTCCCTTGTCCATTCTTCTCAACACAGACCAGTATTTTTAGACCAAAGTACTTCAAGATAGTTGACTTCAGAGTCTGCTCTTCACTAAAAAGGGGCTGCTCTTGCCCGTTAGATAACAAAACAAGCTGTCAGATTTTCAGATACGACAGCAGTCAGCTCCCATTGAGAACAAGAGAGGTGTCCACTCTCCCATTGAGAAACAGGAGGTTTCCACCCTGTCTTCACACCTCCCTTCTTTTTCCCTCCCCAGCACATTCTGTCACTGCCAAGAACAGCAGCGAACGGAGATTTCCCTGTGCACTTGAGAACTGAAGCTTCTCCTAGCAAGATTTTCTTTCCAGATTTGGTCACTGTAAAGGTATGATTGTTTTGGTGGGGACCGGGATTCCTGGGTCCTCACTGTGCCGCTGAGTTGCTGCAAAGGCTTAAGATGAGTCACGTCATGCCTTCGTGTTTCTGTTTGCTCGTGTCACGACTGCTGCACGGTGTAACACGTGTTCATTACGCACTTTGTGAGAAACAGGAACAGCTTTTAGCACACCCATGATCTAGAAGCGTTTAAAGATGCCTGGATCTACAGATATGTCAATAATCTTCTTGAAGACAGGACAACACCCCCCCTATTAGAGAAGGAGAAACTGAGGCATAGAGTGGTACAAAGCTGTTACAACAAAAAGTGTCAGAGGTCAGGCTCTGGTCCCCGTATCTAGGCATCTCAGTGAGAGGTCTTGTTTTCAGAGACCTACAGAAACTTTCAAACCCGGGGCCTGGTGTGTCTTTCTCCATTGGGGCGACATTCACTCAGGGAGCCAAAATCCATCCCTGGTGTAAAGCCAGAGTCTCAGGGGTAAAGCAAGGGTCTGATCCATTTCTCACTGCCATCCAAGGGCAGACTCTCACTGACGACAGCCAGAACTGGATCAGGCCCCAGACACCGAGGTCTGATGGCTCTGGCCAACAGAACTTGCCCAGCGAGTGCCAAGGGAAGCAGAAGGCATTCTCATTTCAGCAGAGCCTGTCTAGTGTCAGTGAGTCCATCAGCTCCATCCTTCCAGCATACGTGACAGCCTGACAGTTGCCAACTACCTCCCTCAGACACCTTTCAGACGGCTCCTGTTTATTTTTAGGGCAGCTCTTCCCAGTCAAGGCTCAGATGCGTATCATTATATAGAAAAGGGGATGGTGTCAGAAAGAAAACACACAGCTATTATTTGTATGTGTTTGCCTATGGTGTGGTTGCAAACTTTTCTCATTTACCCTCATCCGCCCATATTGGGACCCCTCATTTTCTGAAAAGAGATGATATTCTAGCCTATGAAAGCCAGGATAAGGAGAAGCATAGCAGTGAAGTCAGCTTATGAAATATTGAAGCAGTGAAACCCTCACTGGAACATGTGACTGTCTAATGCCAGTTCCAATTAATTTTGAATTTTTCATTAAACCATTATTAAAAGCAAGAGGACAGCAGAAATAAGGGAAATTGACTTGGGCAGTATATTAAGTACCTTAGTTTTGCTGGAGGATGTTTTATTATCTGTCCAAAGCAATTATTTCACCAGCTCCTGACAGTTTGTGGGCTAAACAGAAGAATAAAGTTCTAGATGGTCTTTCCTCAAAGTTACTTTAATCTCCATTCCCTACCCTGCATCTTGCAGCCTCCTTTAGGTGATGTCTCCAGCATGTCATATCTGGAGGACAAGACATGGAGTCGGAGTTCTGAGAATCAGCGATAATGTGTCACTCTGACATTATTTACAAATCAAATAAAAACTTATTGACTTAAGCTTTTACCCATATTGAGGGCAAACAGACGACATGCAAACATTCCGAGCAACATTCATTAGGAAAGCCTGAAAAGCAATTTAAAACCCAGGTGGGTGAGGATTTTTTGAGGGGGGGGGGAGAAATAAAGCAACAGCGTTTATAAAATGTTGTCTCCTCTTCTGTTCTCAAAGCTTCCTCACTCCATTGACTAGAGCAGAAAAGAAACACCTGCCTAAATTAGGTGCTTCATTAAGATGTCTCAAGCTGGTTTAGATGATCCTGAGCCTTATAATGTCTTCTTATAATGCCAGAATAGAGACACTCGTTTCTCTGGCGGGTCGGTTTGTTTGTTTGGCAGTCGCTGTGTTTTGCTGCTTGCTGTGCTGCTCTCCTTGCAGAGGACAGCAGAGGAGAAGTGGGATGTTGCTCTATAAGGAAATGAAGGTTTCTTTCTCTCCTTGGTAGGAAGCATAGGGAAATTTCAACATCTGGGGAAAATTTGACCCTGCTTCCCCTGGCAGAGCCTGTAAGTCTTTGAGGAAACCATTCCGACAGTGCTGGTCTTTCTGGCAAGGAAGATACTTCCCTGTTTCCTGCTGCCCTCTGATCCCAGTCAGTAATGATGAACACTAAGGATTTTCCACTGATGTTTCTTTGGGGTGAGTTTGTGTTTGGGAGCAGACAGACAGCAAGGAGTGAAGTGTGAGATACGACTGCCCTTGTCAGGTTGACCATGCTTATACCTGCAACTCTACCACACTGGGTACCAAAGAGGGGCTTTTTGTTACTCTCCTAAATACACAGTTCTGCTGGTGGGCACATTCTCTGCACCATGGTTGTTCTCCTGCTCCAATAACTGACAGTGCAGAGGCTGCAGCGTTGTGAGCTCTGAGACCCACATTGAGTGCTGGGGAGCACAGGGCTGGGTACGGTTTATTCACAGGAAGCCAGTGGCCACTCAGGACAAATCACAAGGCTTGGCAGCGGTAAGGTTAGAAATCTCCAGTCCAATATGCAGCCTGCCACCTAATTCATTCAGTGCCACAGATATCTCAGGTGATGGGGCAGCTTAAAGCAGTAGTTTATAGCCCTGAAGTACCCAGAGGCCCCAGCTAGAGCTGTACCACCACGTGCCGAGGTGAGTAAGGCCTTTCCTGTCACCCAGTGCTTTCCTCCTCCTGAGATGTGCTCAGTTATAAAATGACTGCGTTTTTACTTTATATGTGGTTACATCTACAACAAACAAAGAGCTAATAAATGATTAGTAAATGCTTTGTGAAATAGGTAATTAAATGCAACAGCTTCTTAGAGTCCAACGGATAAGCACAAAATATGTAAGCCCAAGCGATAACACTTTCTCCTGATATAATTTATCTACAGCATACTGCTCACATCTGCAGGAGTGCTTGGGAATGCTATTAACTTCTTGCACACCAGGAATAAAGAGAGCCTTTCTGTGATGGAGGAGCACTTCTCCCGGGGATTAGGGGAAAATCCTCATTGTTTAGACCACTTAAAATCCAGAAAAGCTGGAAGGTGTTTATGTTAACATACACGGGAGATGTGAGTGATGAGGGAAGGTGACAGTCTCTGCACTGACCCTGTCCTGTCGTTTGCCTGTCAAGCTATAGGGTCCTTTCCTCCCAGGCCTCTCTGTTCCACTGAATACCCAGTCACAATCTCCCATCCTTGCCTGGCACAGGGAAAAATGTCCCTGTCATCCTGTCCTGTTCTAGACCACAGTCAGGAGCCCTCCATCTGCTCCAGCAATGTAACAGATTTTTTTTAAATGCTATCACAGAAAGGGGGGTTGATCCTAGTTTTATTGGTCTTGGTACAAATGAGAATTTCTGCCACTAACGCAGCTGAAGTTGCCAAGTCCAACGGATCACGCTGCAGTATCCAAAACAGATTCCAAAAGGCCCTACAACTTCCCTGGCTACCCACCCAGCATCAATACTGCATTCCTGGGAGCTGGTGGACTCTCTTTAGCATGGGATTGAAGTTTAAACAAGCTCCAGAAAAAAGCTGTGTATATTGAGCTTTGAAGGAGCAAACTTGCCTGGCTTTGGAACACAGACGAACCTGCAAGTTTTCTGAGCAGAAGTTGGATGTGAGTTGGTGACATTTTCTGGTAGAAAAGGAAATGTGAAGGGAAAAAACCCAGTAAGGCACATGTTAAATGAACCAGTCAAGTGCAGACAATGGAAAAGCTGAAAAATGGATATGGAGGAAAGCATTTTGCGGTGGTAGTTATTTCTCACTGCAGTTCTTTATAACTTTCCAGATGGGAGATTCATGACCCTAGGAAGAAGTCTGTATCCTCCAGGGTTTGGCCTGCGGCAGCCCATGACTCACTCGCCTGCCAAGGTTTGGCAATAAGCTGAGAAACAAGCAAGACAGCAAAATGCTTGTGGAAACAGCAAAACAAGAGACAAATTAATTAATTGCTGGAAGAGCGAAAAAATAAACCTCCGTGCACAAAGGGGCATGGAGAGAAGGTGAGTGAGAAAAGGTGGAGAGCAAGTGCTCATGTCACTGAGGACTCCAGAGGAGCTGGCATCCCAGGCAGCCAGCTCCATTCCTTTTCAAGTGAAACAAATTCGGGATGTCTGAGTCTTAAAATAAGGTGAGGTGGGTGGACACAGAAGAGTTGAGGCTCTACCAGCCATTCCACCAGCAGCAAGGTGGTTTTCCCGGGGCCCCAAGGAAGAAAGAGGATTTGTGGATCTACATTGCCATCTAATGGCAAGGAAGAGCTAAAAGCTTTCACTGTGGCCCAGAAACGGGCTATAACAGCAAAGTAACCGAAGAGGGGATGATCCCTACAGATGATTGTCCTTTGGTCAAATCCTTCTCTGCGACTGAATGGGTCTCACTGGTGAAGGCAATACAGCCAGCCCAGAGAAAGGAAGGGTCGCCAGAGTCTTGGGATAGAAGCTGCTGATTCCTCCTCTTCTGGCATCCTCTCCCCTCCATTCTGCATTAGCCAGGAATGTTAACATGCATTAGGATGGGATTTGCTTTCTTCTGGTGTACTAGATACTGGCAGTGAGACAGACTTCCCAAGCAGGTGCATGTTTCAGGTGCCAAGTGAATTCTGACATCCTATTCAAAACAGTGTCAAATTCAGCGCCTCAGATGTTCAAGACCTTGCTGGGAAATGCAGATAACCAGGAATATTTAGGCACAGGAAGAGTAGATCTACCATTCTGGTCACACCTAGCCCAGTACCTTGTCTTCATCTGTGGTGAGTAACGGATACTTAATGAGAAGGTATCAGAAAGAGGGTATTACAGATGGTTACTGCCCTGCCATTCCCTTCGTGCTGGAAGACAGCCCTGCAGGGAGAACCCACAAAGAAAAAGAATTCAGTTAGATGTGAGAGTTTACATATATTGTCATTGGAAAGGAAATGCCAAGAAGAGACAAGTTCAATGCTCATTCTAGTGCCACCCTTGCTACAGCGTGCTGCTAATGATACACCATATCATATAGTTTCTAGACCAGAATATTTACAAGGGAGAGTGGACTATTTGGAGATACCTACATTAAGAAACTGGAGGAAATTTGGTAAAGGCTTGAAAACAGCTTCTTTCTGCTTTGAAATGTTTCTAGCCTTGACACATGCAGCTTTGCGTATGAAGAGGAGTTGGAGCTCGGTCAATGTGAAGGAGAGAAAGGTGATCTTTTATGACCAGGAGTTTAGCACAGAGGAGGAGCTGGGGGACAAACTGGGGGTTTAAAGTGTTGGGCTTTCCCCAGATAGTGAAATGGGACATGGTGTGGGTCCCAGCTAACTTCTGGAATAGGGATTGAAAGCACAGAAAATTTTGAGACCTGCCAGATTTCAGGCCACAGGTCTGGCCCTCCCCAGTCTGTTAAAATGCCTGCTGCAACACGCTTCCTATGCAGCCTGCTGCCAAAGAAATGAGCACACTCTTGAACAATCCAACTTCATTTCCTTCTGGTATCCTCTCATATTTACACACCCAACCTTGCCAAGCCTTGGTAGGCCTAAACAATCCCTCTGGAAGAAAAGGAAAAACAAAGGAACTCCTACAGCTTGTAAAGCACATTCCTGCCCACCCCCACCACCCAAAAAAAAAAAAAAAAGGTTTTGAGTTTTGAGGGCTCTTCTTTCTCTCTTGATCACTCACTGTTTCCCAAGCTAATGAAAGCCAGAGGCTGTGGGAGTGACAGGATTATCATTACTGAGGGACCAGAGTGAATATTTCAGGTATTTCTCTCCAGTTCGTGAAGCAGGGAGGGGAAGAAGGGAATGTACCGGGTTGAAGGGCTACACAGGGTGACATGTACCTTGATGTTCCTTTCTAAATGTGGCTCTGAGTCATGCTACGGAGTTGATTAGAAAAATTATCTTCCTGCAGTAGAAATCCAAAGACAAAATAGTCTTATTCAGCGTCCACTTCCCCAGCCCTGATTCTGAGCCTGCCCAAGCCTGTGGCAGGAGGGGGGCTGGTGAGCTGGCTGGAAAGCCACTTCCACTCCTCTCAGTAATCAGAAATTATGAAGAGGCTGCAAGAGCAGCCGTAGAAACGGCTTGAAACATGCACCTAAGGCTACATGCAGCTGTAGTCCCAGGGAGAGCTGTGCACGGTCTTGCGTCTGCCTCCATCACGCAAGTTCCTACATGTGCCAGGTCAAACGGGGCTAACGCAGTCCTTCCCCCCTCCGTTTCCTCCCCCACTTGACGTGTTTCCAAAGCAGCGTTCCAAAACCTGCTTCTTCTGAAGAAGAGCTACAAACAGGGCCTGCGACACATCCACCCCTCGTGGCATGCAGGACCACAGGGTGAAACACCCCTGCAGGGTCCGGTCCAGCGGCGGGATGCCAGCGCCGGCGTGATGGAGGGAGGGAAGCCCCGAAGGACCCATAAAACACAGCCAGCCGGTTTGAACTCACCGGAGCAGCACGTGAGTTGGACCACCGGGTTGCAGCCAGCAGAAGAAAGGTGTTCAGTGCTCCCACGGAAGGTAGCAGAGATCACCACGGCCACACAGGCTCTCTGGAGAGGGACCTGCAGCATGACGGCGGCTGCCCGGACCCCGTGTGTCTCCTCGGGTGCTTCAGCACCCGTCTGTGGTCACCAGCACTGACCCTAACAACAACCCGGGGCTCCACCATCAGCCCGAATCCCCCAGATCCCTGCAGCAACCCACTGCCCCCGGCCAGGGCTGAGCCAGCAAACTGATGGGGCAGGAGGGCAATGGGAAGCGCAAGCCACGGTGGTGATCAGTACGGGTTATTAGTTTTTAAGGCCATTTCTGCAGATTCAGCGGCACTGTTCATTTAGTGCCTCACCCCTTAAACCTGCTCCCAGGCTCAGGACCCGCATGTTTTTATCTTTCACTGTTCAGATCATTAGAATTGGATGAAAAATGGCCGTGAGGCCACTTTGTTGCAGCAGTACCTGTGGGCCAGAGAAGACAAATATGTCCATTTCTGGGGGGGGAAAAAAAGACACAATTATGTGAGGCGTGCTGAAGAGCACAGGCACACACCAGATCAGGACGAGCCAACACCGGTTTTCCAGCAAACGCTCAATTTACAGATGTTAAAAATTCCAAGCGTTGTTTTATATTGGGGGGGGGGGCGAAGAAAAAAAAAAACAGAAAAAAACAAAACAAAACAAAAACAACAACAACCCAAAAAAACACACAAGCGGCTGAACCTGGGGTTATTTAATTGGAACCTGGGGTTATTTAATTGCCGTTGATGAGGGAGGGGCCCGGTCGCGCACAGCCCGCTGGGAGGTGTAGTCCTGGTGCGCGCCGCCATCTTGGCGCCGCCACCACGGAGCCCCTCGGGGCGCGTCCTGGCAGCCATCTTGGGATGGGGCGGGGGCGAGGGCCTCTCCGTCAGGCAGCGGCTGCGGGGGCTTGAGGTCTTGGGGTTTGTAGGGGAGTGAGCACTGCTTTTATTTTGGGTCGAAACAGGAGTAAATCTCTCACAAAAGGCAGCCTGAGAAGCCTTGCAAGCGCTCTGACAGGCGTGGTGGTGCTTTGGGGATGGTTTGTAGGGCTATGGGCTTGCTTATGGGTATTGTGCCGGTGTTGTCTTTGTGGCCATCCTACCGTCATCATGTTTAGCTAAATAAAGGGCGATTTTTCCTTAGAAGTCTCTCCTGAAGGTATTTCTGTGCTATGCCTGCTTACTCCGGAGGATGAGGGAGTTCCGGGGTCTTGTGCTGAGCCTTCTGGTACCCCTCCTGGCTGGGGATGCTGCGAGCACTTCCGAGGGACGGGCGGCCTGACAGGGTTTGTGAGGGTGTGCAGAGAGTTGGGGCCGTCTGTGGCCTGGGAGGGCGAGAGCAGAGCAGGGGTAGACTCTGGGAGGAAAATGTCAGGGGGTGGTTAATGGGACCTGAATTTGGCAAGGAAGTGGTTTAATATGAGGGCACACAGGTCCTCCTGTAGCAAATGCTTTCCGTCTGCTCTGGCAGGTGGAGTAAGTGAGCCCTTGCTGCAGTCAGGACAAAGCAAGTGTCAGGGCTTGTGAAGCTAAGCGAGAGCGTATGAAGGAAGAGGGCAGTTGGGGGTATGAGGATGTGTTTTATAGGACTGTGAAAGGAAATAGGGCTCATCCCAAGGCCACTGGATGCTTTTGTTAATGTCCCTAGTGGAGCTGCTCCTGATGCTCTTCCCAGAGCCTACTCTTGCCTTGCCAGCCAAAGAGAAGGTGACTCCTTTGTACAGCAGAAGAAATAATTTACAGTGCTTATCAGACTGCAACTTCAGGTGTATTGTTCAGTTCCCTATGTATTTAGTGAGTGAAATTTCAAAGACGGACTGAATGCCTTTGAGCCTGAACTTGGGAGCTAAATTTGACCTCTATGTTTTATACTACTACAGATTATAGCTAGTTTGTTGACTTATTCAGTGCTTATTTTCACAGCAAAAAACCTCCTGTCTTGTAACATACCCCGCATCATTTTATAACATAAATTTAGCTACCTCTTAAGTATAGGGTTTTTTAAATGTTATTTTGTGCATGCATTTATTTTGGAGTAGTCCAAAAGATCCTTCCCTTTCCTTCATTAGTCTTATGCAATTATTATAAGAAGCCAGGCCATCCCCACAGATCTGCTGGGCTGTTTAATTGCTCTGCAGACACGGAGGGGTGCTAATAAGCTTTCTTTCAAGCATGTGTTCATATGTCAACACTTTTGCTTCAGTCAGAAGCTTAAAAATGGAAACAGTTTTCTCTTTAAGAAAACAGGACCCAAATAAGGAGATGATGGAGTGGTGAAGATTCCTCTAGTGAGTCTGTTCCAGCTCATTCCTTAGAAAGGCTCTGTATGAAAGATCAGAGAAGAGACCAGTAGATCTGGGTTTTGTCCAGGGGTCTCTGGGTTTAAAGCTCTCTACAACCACTTGAGCTCATTTTCCCTGTGACTTGGCTGGGTACAACTTCTTTCTCTGCCCAAGCTGTTAAAAATCTAAAACTTTACTGTTCGGAATTCTTTCAGTAGCGCGACAGATACAACCTATCCTTTAGCAAAAATGGAAGCTATCAAGAAAAAGATGCAGATGTTGAAGTTAGACAAGGAGAATGCCATTGACAGAGCAGAGCAAGCTGAAACAGATAAGAAGGCAGCTGAGGACAAATGCAAACAGGTAAGTAGAAATAAAACCACTGATTGTGTATGCAATATGGAAATAAGTGTAACAAAGTACTGTGTTGCAACTTTCTGATGCAGAAGGGAAAATAATTTGAATTTGTTTTTTTCTGTTAATATTTTGAAGTCTTTCACCTTTTTGTGGTGTTACGCTCATAACTGCCAGGGTTAGGTATTCTCTTTTCAGCCATCTGAGTCTCTGTAAAATTAGCACTATCCACAGACTATTAAGAGTACTTTGTCTAAGTTTTCTTGAATCTCGCATAATTGCCTTAATTTTCTTGTGCTTGTGATTCCATGGAAAAGGCCTTACATACTCCAAATCCGAGCTGTATACCTTGAACACCTGTAGACTGGTGTTAATACCTCCTGAAGAGTCAGCTGTGTCTAAACATTAATTGCGCCTCGCCTTGAAGAGAATTAATAAAGTTCACTGGAGTAGTCCTTGGTATACAGAGTGCCCCTTAGAGGTGCCAGCTGTGACTCAACAGTAGGCATGTTGTATTATTTTTTTTGTTAAGAATAATCAGAAATATCTTCATTTGAAAGCTCTTCTTTTAACTGAATTTTAGTGATAACGTTTTCATGTTATTTTGCTTTTTCAATGTTCTTTATTCTGTGTGTCTACCTTATATTTGAGCTGTGGTATTTTCAGAACGATGGTGGAATGCAAGTTGACTACACTCAAGTTTCTTATAGCGCTTCTTGTAAAATTACCATGTCTTTTCCTTTTACATTCTCTCAATGTGGCTGCTTCTACTGCATCTTCCAGACTGCTATAACATGTCATTAGCATTCATTTGGCCAAATATTTCTTACATTCAAATTCAGTTTGAGATCCTGGATGATGTAACTGAACTTTCAACTGATCATCTGTGTAGCTAAAGCAATAGGAAAAAAGTTTCCAAAAGGTTCAGCTGCTGCTGTCTTCCCCCTCCACCCCCAACAGAAGGAAAAGTGCTTGTCCCTTCTGTGTCATTACAGTGAGCTTCAACGAGCTGCACGCATCGCCCCGTGTACGTAGTCCCTGTTTGTTTTCTGGCTTCAGTGGTGTTGATCAGATGCTGTTCTGTTGGGCCCCAGTTTCCCCAGCTAATCTTTCTGCACTCGGTAACAGCCACAGCAGATTGTTATTCAGAGCAGTTAATGGTGATGGAACGCTTAGTCTTCCTTTACATTTAGTTATCAAAGGTGATTTCCTACAGAGTGATGAATGACAAGCTTGAGGGAATTTTCAAGTATCTATGTAAGGGTAATACACAAGAAAAAGCTAAAAGAGAAAAATCTTTTGATAGTACTCTTTTCTGAATTGTTTCAAATTTTTCAGGGGTGGGTTTTTTTCTTAACGTGGGCACAGTACTCAAGTAGTGATTTTAATGTTATACACAAAATAAGCATCACCTCCTTCATCCTGCTTGCTGTCCCTCTGTTAAAGCATCCAGGCAAGCATATGTGGTTCTCTCACACTATCTGGTTACTCTAAGTAAAAGTACAGTAACATAACAACGTTCAAGAATGGCACATTACCAAAAATGTTGCTAAAGCTATCTTTGAAGCTAGAGTGAAGAAAGTCAGTGCACTAAAACACAAACTATTTTGAGTGAACTATACCGATAGACTAAATTTGTGTGAAGGCGGAGCTAAATGGTTAAATCAGTTTCTCTACCAACTAAACTGTTTTGTATTGCAAATGAAACGGAGCAGATGGGTTTGCAGGCACCCTTATCAGCAGCAAGCTTCCTGATAATGTAAATTCTTCACAGAGCATGAGACAGTTTATCATTAAACAGTCTTCCAGCAGGGTATAAATAGCACCGTTCTCGAGTACAATATGGATTTATATGGTATGGAGGAGGGAGGCTGACCCTCGTGGTAGGATGGAGCGTACCTTGTTGGCCAGCAGTAAGTCAGGGAATAATTCAGGTTGGAAGGGACCTCTGGAGGTCATCGAGTCCCACCTCCTGCTTCCAGCGGGCTGGACCCGCTCCCTCCTGCTTCCAGAGCATCACATTTGGCTTGAAGTGTCTTGAACAACGTCAAAAGATGATTAGGGAACAACTACTCGTTTTTTCTAGCTACACAGGAATTAAGTAGTTTCCTAGTAAACCATCAGGTAACAGTGTTAGAACAAACACAAGGACATAATTTTAAAACATTTATAATTATGCTGTAGAATTAACTGCTGCAGGGTGTTGTGAAGTCCAAAACAGAAATGAGGAGAAAAAGGGCTTATACAAAGTTATGGATTAAACCGGATCCTGCGTGTGCAGTGGCAGGGAATGTTGTTCTGGGGATGACAGGTTTTTAATGACCTTTCCCTGGCAGCTGCTACTAGTTAGTCTTAGACTACTTGCTCCAGCAGAACTTTGATTTGGTCTTTTATGACTCTTGTGTGTTACTAGTTAACTACTAGTAAAGAGAGGTTATAACCGTATTAAACTGTCACCGATAATGCATCAGAATTCTCACTTTGTGGTTGTTTTTTTTTTTCTCTCTTGAAAGGTAGAGGATGAGCTGGTAGCTCTGCAGAAGAAGTTGAAAGGCACTGAAGACGAGCTGGATAAGTACTCAGAGGCTCTCAAAGATGCTCAGGAAAAACTAGAGCAGGCTGAGAAGAAGGCCACTGACGTACGTACCCAGGGCCAATCCTCGCCTGTAACCGTGCTGTGTGTATTTTGCAGTGTGTGTGTACCCTCCTGGTTCCGAGAACCGCTGAGAATTCTTGTCCCGCGGTCCTTTGGGGGGTAGGAGAGGCAGCGGGACGGTTCAGGTACGATGGGTCTCCAGCCCCTTGCCAAACCCAGCTGGGGCGGCAGTCTGCGGGCACCCAACGTGCTGCCCCCGCCAAGGGTTCTGGAACGGGGCGGGGAAGCGTTTTCTGGGCGGGAATTCTTTCGGAAAGACGACATTTCATTGAATCGAAATAAACCAAAGGGTGAACTTTCAGGGCTCCGCTGTGGCGTGAAGGATGGAGTTTGGCTTCAGCCACATCGCGGGGCTCCGCCGCCGGCCCCGGCTCCCAGCCACACCCCTTCGGTTTGCTGCCAGAAGGGTTCGGTTCAAGCAGGACCCGGCACCAGGCGCCGGGGTCCCGCAGCGCCCCGGGGGTCCC